GAGCCCCTGCCCCCCCTGCAGAGATAGCTGCTCCTTGCCAGCCCCTCGCGGCTGGAGAGCAGTGCCAGAACAGCCCCGCCGGTTGCTTCTTTGCAGGTTTGAGGAGGCCCTGCAGGAAGCCCAGCAGGTAGATAAGCTGCTCTCGGAGGGCCCTGGCGATGACTACCTGGAGGAGAAGTTCCCCTTGTTAGGGGTTCCCATCACTGTCAAGGAGGCCTTTTCTCTGCACGGTGCGTTTGCCCTTGCTTCTCTCCAGCTTCACAGGTCAGGACTCGCTCCCTCTCAGCCACCACCCAGGGTGGTGGGTGGCTGTGGCAGGGCACTGGGAGGGAATCATCTTCCCTTTCCCTGCTCTGCACACCCCTCTGCCTGGGCTCGTGTGTCTGTGTTCGCTTTTTAGCACCCAAATGCTGCGGGGGCTGTGGTGCCTCAGAGGGGCAGCCCTTGCTGGGGACCCGCTTCTTACAGATGCGGTCCCGGTGACCAGCCCTGCAGCCTGCTGCCCCAGGGGTGATCTCGGGGGAGCTGGCCCTGACACCTCCCTCCATCTGTTGACCCTGGCATCGCAGGGATGCCCAACACATCTGGCTTGGTCAACCGGCGCAATGTGATTGCCACCTCGGATGCCACGGTGGTGTCCCGGCTGAAGCAGGCTGGTGCCATCCCACTGGGCGTGACCAACTGCAGCGAGCTGTGCATGTGGTACGAGTCCAGCAACAGGGTCTACGGCCGGACCAACAACCCCTATGATCTGCAGAGGATTGTGGGCGGCAGCTCAGGTGAGCCCCGGCACCTCAGCACAGTCCTGCACAATCCCGGTGGCCTATGTTCCCCAGCTGGCCCCCCGACATGGCTAATGCCGGGCGGCTCCCACCCCACCTGCTTTCAAAGGGAAACAGCCACCGTGAGATGCTCCCGCTTTGCTGGATGATTTGCACTGTGGGGTTCCTTGCTGTGTTTCCTCCCATGCAGGTGGGGAGGGTGGTGTCCTGGCAGCTGCCTGCTCGGTCATAGGTGTGGGCTCCGACATCGGCGGCAGCATCCGGATGCCTGCCTTCTTCAACGGAATCTTCGGCCATAAACCCACAACAGGTAGAGCGGGTGTGGGGATCTCCTCTCCTCCCCTCCCCAGCAGCAATGCCAGGAGGCAGAGTGTGGGGTGTGGGAGGAACCTGCTCGGCGCACTCTTGTGCTTGCCTCTGGTGGGATTGCTGTAAGGGGACGGGGGGCTTCTTGCGCAGGACGAGCTGTTGCATGAGTGCGACCTGGCCTCGGTGGTGGGAAGACATTCGGTGGCAGAACGCCAAGCACGCGGGAGGTGGGAGGTGTTTTTCCCCTGGTATTGCAGCCTCAGCGTGGGGTGTTTTCTCATGGTCAGGCTCCGCTGCTGGGGTGTTTCCCTGGCAGCTGGTGTCCCGGCGGAGTGCTTTCACCATCCTGTATGTCTTGCCATCATCTTGCGAGTGCTGCCGATGTGTGCAATCCCTGGGCAACAGCTTCTCCCTGCGCCCGGGGGCTGCCCTCCCGTGCGGCTTGCCCTGGCTGGAGGCGATGCTCACAGGATGGTACCTGACCTACCCCTCTGTGCTTGCAGGGGTGGTGCCCAACGACGGCCAGTTCCCAAATGCTCAAGGGGTGCGGACCAGCTTCCTGTGCACGGGGCCCATGTGCCGCTACGCAGAGGACCTAGAGCCTATGCTGAGGGTCATGGCCGGTTCTGGAGTCAACAAGTGAGTTGCTTCTGCTGCTTCAAGCTGCTGAATTGGCCTCAGCTACTTTCTGGCCAGCACAGCGTGTCCGTCCTGTTTGGTGTGCGAGTTGGGTCTGCACCACCCAGATTGCTTGTTGCTGGTTTCCTTCCTTTCCCCTTGGCTTCAATGCAGCCGGGGCTGTCCTTCCCACCACCCACGTGCTCTGGGGAGCAGGCAGCTGGGTCCTCCTCGCAGGGAGATTTGCCCGTGAGCTGCTCCGGCCAGCACCGTCCGTTTCAGCCCTTCCCTCCTGGGGCTGGCCTTCCTTTTGGGTTTTACATGTGCTTTTTCATGTTGCTGAATAATGAGCTTCCATCTCACACCGTGGCCCCCTTGGGTCTCCTCATAGGTCCGTGCAACCAAGCAGCCTTTTATGTGCAGGTACCAGTAAGGAGCAGAGCAGGCATGGGGCGGACCGGGCAGGTCCTGCTTCTTGCCGCAGCCTGCATGCGGTTGCTTTCTCCGTTACCGCTTTTGTTTCTCCATGGCTCTTGTGCAATCCCAGCCTTGGCCATGGCCAGGGTCTGTAATTACAAGGTGCGTCTTGAGAGAGGAGGATTTTCCTAGCAGTAATAAATATGCAGAACTTGCTGGGACTGAGGGCTTGTGGGCAGTAGGTGTCTGTGTATCTTCAGGGGTTCTGCTTCCCACCCTGGTGGGTAGAGCAGGGTGCCCTGAGGACGCGTCGGGTGTCCTGAGGACACCTTAACAAGCGCGTGCGGAGCTCTGGCAGCTGGGGAGGAGCCAGGGACAAACGTGTGAGCAAAGCGCCATTCCTTCCCCAGGCTGAAGCTGAATGAAAAGGTGTCGCTGGAGAAAATAAAATTTCACTGCATGGATCATGACGGCGGGTCCATTTTTGTGTCGCCTGTGGACAAGGAGATCTTACAGGCCCAAAAGAAGGTAGGCAGGAGTGGAGGTTGGCTCTCATTGGGGTGAGCCTGGAGGTAAAACCTGGGGAGGCCACTCTGAGTCGTCCCTTGGAGGCGAGGTGAGCTGCTCGGCGTGGCTCCTGCAGGGGATGGAGGGCTGCAGTGCTGCGGGGGCAGCCTTGGGTCCTGGTCCTGTGCTTCCAGTGGAAAAAAGGGGAAAAGTGGAAAGATCTTTTTCTTCTGTACTAAAGAAGAAATGAGGGGAAAGTCTTGCGAGGGGCTGCAGATGCCCTTGCCAGCAGCACCTGCGCCTTGGAGTGCACAGAGTTGTCTGACATTTTTGACCCAATAGCTGTATTTTGCTTTCTTAACATCTCTGGTCCATGTCACGGAGACCTTCTGGGGCACATCACATGGCAAAGGGATGGCTGTGCGTTTGTGGTCTTCCCGGGGTCGCTGCTCTTGGTGCTGTTCTGCAGCATCACTGGGGTGGCATGGAGGGCTGTTTGGGGAGCTCCAGGGTTGTTCTCAGATGGAGGAGGCCCCACCACTCGGGGTGGAGGGGAGTGGGCAGGAGGCGCGGGGTCCCCTGTGTGGCAGCAGGGAGGAGCTGCTCCTGGGCGCTCTCCTGTCCCTGCTTTCCATTCACTGGCTGCAGCGCATCGCGTCCTTGTGGAACCAAAAACTCTTCCCCTTAGGTGGTGGAGCACCTTGAAAGCGAGCTGGGCGTCCAAGTTCGGCGCGTGGCAATCCACAAGATGAAGTATTCTTTCCAGATCTGGTCAGCCATGATGTCGTCCAAGGACAGCAATGGGCAGGTGGGTGGGACTGCGCGGGCAGAGGCACAAATTTGGTGGCAGTAGGGAAGAGTCGGCTGTTTGGGCCAGCCACGGAGAGCTGTAGACTTCCCAGACCTGCTGGGGGGCTTTCTCTGCTCCCTTTGTCCCCCCAGTCCTCCTTTCATCTCTTTCCAACGCTACACAGCCCCCTCTCCCCCGCTTTCCCATGAGATGACCAAGTGGCTCCCAGCAGAGGAGCGAGGTGGTTGAGGGAGGGAGAGGCTGTTTTGGCACGTTGACCGTTTCTGGCCAAGCAGGTAGCGCCCCGCCTCGCTCTTGCCTCCACGCTGCGTCTCCAGGCACTGTAGGTGGGGATTGACGCCCGTTAGGACGCCAGGGCTGTGGCGGCGGGTTAGCAGCCTTTCGGCAGCAGGCCTGCATGTGTCGGTTCTCCCTTGAGCTGTAGCCGCTGTGCCATGCTCTGTGCGTACACGGAAGTATTTTATAGCAAAAATGAACTCCCAGGAATATCGGACCCCGTGTGTTCTGCCACACAGGCAGCAGCGAAAAATAAACCAACGCTCTCCCTCTGCAGAGTGAGGTCCCCTTCTTGCAGGGAAGGGAGGGAGAGGCGCTCCTGCTGCAGCTCCGGATTAGTGCTGGAGGTGTGTGACGCTTCTGACGGGCACCTCCTGTCCTGTGTCGGGATAACTGGACGGCTGGAGAGTTCACTGTCATTTGTCAGCCTGTTCCCCCCTGTCAGGCGCCAGCCGGCGGCGCTGATGGAGGCAGCGTGCGTGTGTGTGTGTTACAGGAGGCACAGCTATTCACAGACCTGCTGGGGGATCACGGCAAGCCGGTGTGGCCGCTGTGGGAGCTGATGAAGTGGCTCGTGGGGATGTCTTCCCACACTCTCCCAGCTATCGGTAAGGCCGGGGGGAGCCCCGGGGCGTGCGGGGGCGGCGACAGAGCAGACGAGTTGTTAAAATAGTGCCCTTCCAGTGCCCCGTGGAAGGAGCCCGGAGTTGGCCCTGAGCAGCTCCAGGCTGCTTTTTTTTTTGTAATGACACTCGGTGTCTTTGAGGGGGAGTTGGCTGGATCTTTGGTAACTGGGATTGGATTTCATGGGAGGAGGAGGGAGGACAAGGGAGCTGCAGGCAGGGTTTGCTCCTGCGGTGAGCCCTGCCAGAGCTGCTGGGGTTTGGAGAGTGCTAGCTAGGGGTCTGCACCCATCTCATTTCTTAGCAGCAGATAGCAGAGAATCCTAATTAGTGGTGTCGTGCTGCTGTCTTAATGAGTGCTGAGGTCGCTCCCTCAGCTCTGCTCAATCCCAGTGGCTGGAAAAACTCCCTGAAGGCCTTTCCCTTGGCAAAGCTGGGCAGACACTGCCTGCAGAGCTGTGCAGGGGGCAGCCCACTCTGGGCACCAGCGTGCTGGCAGCGGTGGGGGGGGGGACACAGGGGGCCCCTCTAGGAGCTGGGGGAAGCTGCTTGGGGCCGGGCAATGTACTTTCCAGCCTGCTTAACCTACAGTCCTCTCGCTCTCTGTTCCTGTCTGTGCCCTTGCCCTGCAGCCCTGGGGCTGACGGAGAAGCTGATGAAGCTCAACCCTGGTGGGAATGCCAAGCTGGTGAGCATGGGGAAGAGCCTGCAGGAGGAGATGGAGGCGCTGCTGGGGCCGGATGGGGTGCTCCTCTACCCCTCCCACCCCACCATAGCTCCAAGGCACCACTCCCCCATATGCATGCCCTTCAACTTCGCCTACACCGGTGAGCAGCTCTGGCTCCTGCTGGGGTAGGGGCAGGGGCGGCAGCCGTGCCCTCACCCACCGCATGGGGGCCGGGGACTTTTACCCAGAGTATTTCTGTCGCTGACAGCGGGCGTTGCACTGCAGAGGGGTGTCTCACTGCTCCAGAACATGGGGCGAGGATTATGGTCATGCTTCAGAACTGTTGTTTGTACCCACTGTCCGCAGTGGGGCAGGCTCGACCTTGGGGGGGAAGGGAGGGGGGCACCCTGCCCCAGAGGGACGCGCTGTGGTTTAGCAGGCACCCAAGAGCTGCTGTGTCTCTTGGGGTATGGTCTGGGGCTCTCTGTGGCTTTCCTGAGGCTTGAGCTCCGTGATGCCAGCGTTGCATTGCAATGCTGCCTGGCTTGGGAGTAATGGAGGGATGGTGCCTGGGGCAGGAATGTCCCAAAGCAGATCTTGGCGTGACACAGCAAGTGCTGCATAGTGTGTCGTTGCTCGCGGGCGCAATGTGCGTATGTCCTGTGGGCACTGGGAACCTCCGGCCAGCGGTGTCCCCTTGTCACGGTGCCTCCGCACCACCTGCGCTGACCGCACCGCGTGGGCAAGGAGCAGCTCCCAGGAGCCCAGCGCCGTGCGTGGCAGCCGCCGCCTGTAGAGCCGGGCAGCGATTTATCCTGGGTTCTGTGCTCGCTCTGATGCCACCTTCTCTCTTGCAGCCATTTTCAACGTCCTGGGCTTGCCAGTGACGCAGTGCCCGCTGGGCCTGAGCAGCGAGGGCCTGCCGCTGGGCATCCAGCTGGTGGCGGCCCCGTACAACGACCACCTGACGCTGGCGGTAGCCCGGTATCTGGAGAAGGCCTTCGGAGGATGGGTTTTACCTGGGAAAGTTTAGCCTGGGCTCCTGGCTCTGCAGGGAGGCAGGGACGGAGGCGGTAGCACCCAGCGAGGCAGCAGCGGGTGCCGATGCCCGATTCCGTCATGGCACTACCTGCTCCCTCCGCACCCCGCCTTGTGCCCTCCTGGGAGTGTCCGGCAGAGCCCCCAGCCCCCGGGGAAGCCGGGCTGTTGCTGCTGGAGGCTCTTCCCTGCAGCACCCTCTGCCAGGGGAGCGACCTGCCCTCCCTGTGGCCCCTGCGGAGCCCTGGCGCCGTGGGGTGGCAGCAGTCTGCCTGCGTCCTGCCTGCGGCGGCCACCCATCTTCCAGGCGTGGGGATGGCTGTAACGCTTGCTGCTTTGGAGGTGCTGGGCGAAGGCTGGGGAGAGGAGGTGCTGCCGGACTGCTCGGGGGACAACTGCCTGGCACCACCCTCGGGGCTCCCTGGGTGCGTCCCTCCTCCCTGGCCTTACCCTGCCTGCGGGGCTGGGACTGTGCCCGGTGGGACTGCAGCCTCCCTGAGCTGCCACAGGGTTTCCCTCGCTTTCTGACCGAAAAAGGAGAGGGGCTGTGGGTGCTGGAGGCAGCCGAACGCTCCCGTACGCTCATCTCGCTGGTGGTGCTGTGTGGGGTGGGTGGTGCTGGGCTCTGCCCGGTGCAGAGCTGGCAGGCAAGGGAGAAGGAGCTTTTGCTCTTGTGAGCTTTTGACAGTGCTGGAAGAGCTCTTCAGGTGACCTCTCATGTGCTGAGGCAGCGGAAGCATCTCTTGCCTGCGTCTTCCCCTTCTGCCCCAGGGATCGCCCAGCCAGGCTGGCGTCCCCTGATGCCCACCCCCACGAGTGAGGACAGGCAGGAGCATGGGCAGCCGGCTGTTCCTGGGCGGGCAGCGAGCGTGAGGTGTTCTCAGCGAGGGCGGTATTAAAGAGTCTGTCCAGATTGCTGCCGGCTGTGTGTCCTTGTTCCCGACGGCTACCAGGCTGCCATGCCCCCCAGCCCCGTCTCCCCTCTTGCCGTGGGATAGCGTGGGGACGGCAGCGAGGGCGGCACACAGCTGCTGCCAAGCTCTTGCTTCAAAATGCCTGGACCCGTGGTGCCTGCGCGGCTCCTGGCAGAGCCGAAGGGTGCCATTGAGCCCCGGCGACGACGTGGTCGATGGCTCCATTGGTCTCGTAGCCGTCGCACAACGTCGCGCTCTCAGAAGGCGTAAGCCCTGCTGCTTTATCTCCCCGCTGTGCTGCCAAGGGCTTGGGGCTCGTAGGGCGATGCTGAGCCGCGTGTGGGTTCCTTGGGGGCCTCTCCTGCAGAGCGGGGTGCGGGGTCCCAGGTCTGCGCACCCAGCTTGCAGGCTGATGTTGGCAAGGGTAAAGCAGCGTTGGCTTTGTGGGGATGTCCTGGCTCGCATCTGTCTTGCTGTCTGCCACCCTTGGTCTGGCCCAGTCCCTGTGCTGATGTCTTCTGTCCCTGAGCCACCAATGGTCCCTGCAAGGGGGGGTGTGGGTGCTAAGGCTGTGTGCAGCCGGGGTGCGGGGGCCCCACTGCGTCTCGCCCCTGGCTCCCAGAGGGCACTGCTGAGCCAGCTGAGGGCTGCCAGCCCGGGGAGCCCGCAGCTCGGTGAGACACCGCCAACGAGGAAGGAAGGAGGAGAAAAACCCGACGCAGGAAAAAGGGCCCGTAGCAGTGGAGCCGTGGGACGCGTCCCCCTCAGCGCGGTGGCATGGAGGACGCGGGCCTGTCCCCAGCTGGAAGCCCCAGATGATGCTTCCAGCGAACACTCCTGGAGCCTGACGGGGGGTCGCTGAGCTGAAGGCGGTTGTGTTTAACGGAGCGTGCCGGGTGCCCCAAGGGGGGGGGGGCGGCTGGCTCTTCAGGGCGGCGTGGCGATGGGGGGTGTTGGGTGAAGGAGGGGATGAGCAGAGAAGAGGGGGGTTCAGTCTCTCTGGTCTCAGCCAACGGGGTGGCCACGGAACCGTGTCATTACAGAAACTGCAACACGGGGAGCGGCGCTGGGTTCTCCCCTCTGGCCAAGGTAGGCAGGGACTGGGTGTGCTGGGGTCAGCAGGGGTCTGGCGGGGGCTGTCCTGCAGCCCCCCTTGCTGCTGCGCGAGTGCTGGCCCCCAGCACGCTGCCTCCTCCAGCCGGATCAGCCCAGCCCCTGCGCACGGCAGCCAGGTCCTGGGGTCTCCCTGGGGAGCTGACCTGTGGCTCCGCACCCCTGTGAGCCCCGGGAACGGCCCTGGGGGCCCCTCTCCTCCCGGGGAGAACGGTCTGGCGCCATCACCGGCGGCCTGCTGCGAGGCCGGGAGGGCTCCTGCTGGTGCCAGGGCAGGGGGAAGCTGTGAGCCCGCTGCCCGAGCTCCAGCTCCGGCATTCCCAAGGTCTCGCCTCGGGGCTAGGAGCCCTCACCCATGGTTCGCAGCTGCCTGTCCCCGCTTGCCAGCTGCTCTTCCTCGCTTCCGACTCTGAATGCTTGCAAGGGGCAGAAAACATAGGGAAAACATCTCGTACGCACCTGCCCAGGCGGCCGTGCTCGTCACGTTAACTCAGAGCCAGTACAAAACGGGAAGAGCAAGAGGCGATGGGGGGGAGTGAGGCAACCCCGTGGATGTCCACTTCCCCCAGGAGATGCTCCCCCATCTGCCTCTGGAGGTGGCCCTGGCTCCCCACCTTCTCTGGGGGGCATGTCCCCACCACCGGGAGGTCGGTTGTTGGTGGCCTCAAAGCCCTTGCGCATCTCTCCCGGGGAGCGGAGTGCTGGGGCGAGGCCGAGGTAAGGAGCTACGGGCCAGGTTTTGGAGAGCGGGAGGAGGAAGCAGGACAGTGACACGCCGTGCGCTGCCCCAGCGTCCCTGGGGCTGTGCCGGGCTGCGACGCAGGTCCCCAGCAGGATCAGCCTCCACTGTGGCTCACGCGGGCTGAGGTCTCTGCTCAGGGCACGGTGCCCCGGGGGGGCGCCTTGGGGTGCCCCGTTTCACCTGGCTGGGTGCTGGCGCATGGCACCCTTCCCACCCCACAGCGGCCGTGGGAGGGCCGGGAGCGCTGCGGTGGCTGTAGCACCGGTTGTGCCGGTGTGAGTCACGCCTGGAGCAAGGCTGAGTCACTACCAGAGCGGTGTGAGCGTCAGGCCACCGGCTTTCTCAGAGCCGCGTCCCGGTGACACCGGTAGTGTGACTTCGTAGGGAGGGACCAAATGCCCTGGGGAACCAGCTAGAGGTGGGCGCAGCAGCAGAACCCTGAAGCAGATGCATGGCACTGCAGCAGCTGCCTGCTGTCCCCGCGCGTCCCCTTGCCACCGCAGCCCTGAGCCGCCTGCCCTGGTGCTGCTTTGCCCCATCCCTGGGGGCAGCAGGGGGTTCCCTGCCACGCTGCAGCGGGCACCTCTGTGCCACAGCTGGGCACACAACCTCTGTGCGCACGGCATGCCTGCAGTGGGTGAGGCTGGCTGCAGCTTCGTAAAAATAAATGAGTTCTCTAATCACAGGTCCCGGCTGCCTGACGTGTTTGTGGGTGGCAGAACAGCTCCAGCACCCCTGTCCTCGCCATGGTCCCCAACACGGCAGCGTAGAGCAGGGAGCAGATGGACGGGGCGCAGCGGGATGAGCCCTGCCCTGAGCCTTCTTCTGTCCCTGGCCAGCTGCACCCTGCTCTGGGGTAAGTCCGGATCCGGAGCTGCGGGGCGGGAGGTGGCCCTGGCCACAGCGGGGGGAGAAGCACGGGGGACAACTCTCAGCCCTGCAGAAGGTACATGCAGGGAGGAAGGGACTGAGCGGTCTTCAAGGCGTGACGAGAAGGAAAACCCCGGGTTGCCAGCAACCACGCTAGGGTGTTGGTGCCTTTTGCAGGACCGCAGATAGGATGCTCCAGGGTGCGCAAGAGATTCATGGGATGCGGGTGCTGAGCACCATGCCGGCGGCCAGCGCTTGCCAGAGCCCAGCGGGGGTCGGTGTTTGCCAATGCAGGACTGAAGCTGGGAGTTGTAGGGTGTAGCCTATGCAAAGTGGGGAGACCCATGCAGCGTGGCCAAGGAGCAGGCCCATGCGGTGATGCTGCCTGATGCCCCTCTGCTTCCCCCCCCTCCCCAGGCTCACCGTTGCCTCCCCGGAATGTGAGGCTGGAGGCACAAAACTTCCACGTTCTCCTGCGGTGGGAGCCAGACCCTGGCTCGCCTGCCGGTGCTGCGTACCAGGTGGAGTGGAGGAGACGGTAGGTGCGGCAGCGGGGTGGAGGGGGCTCATCCCCCTGCACCCTGGGAGAGGGCTGTCGGGGACCCCTATAGCCAGAGGATCTGTCAGTAAATATCATGGAGGGACAGAACAGCGGAGCTGGCAGGGGGCTCTGGAGAGCAGCTCGTCCAACCCCTGCTCGGGCAGGGTCAGCTCAGGACTGTGTCCTGTTGGGTTTTGACCACCTTGAAGGATGGAGCCTCCACAGCCTGCTTGGGCAACCTGCTCCCTTTCCTGGTCGCCTTCCTAGGAAAAAAACCCAAAACAACAAAACAGGGTTGCTTTTGGGTTTGGGTTTTTTTTTTCCCTTATGCTTAGATGTAAATTTCTGTATTTCAACCTGTGCCTACTGCCTCTTGTCCTGTCACTGGGCACCGCTGAGAAGGCACAGAATGGTAAGGGCTGGAAGGGACCTGGGGACATCTAGTCCAACCCCCCTGCTAAAGTCATCTCCACCTTCTTTACTCCATCACGCCGATAAGACACATACAGCCCCTGCCGCTCTTGAGGCTAACAGCCCCCGCTCGCTCAGCTTTCCTCGCGCCACAGATGCCTCGACCCCTTGGTCATCTTTCCGGCCCTTCCATGGGCGCTCTCTGGCGGGGACACGGCTTTTGTCGTAGCAGAGAGCACGGGTCAGGGTGCAGCACCCCAGGCACCATCCCACTGGTGCCAGTGAGAAGGGACCTGACTTGCTGGCAGCGCTCCTACCGCAGCCCGGGATGGTGTTGGCCGACACCCGTGCTCGCCCACGCTTCCCGCCCAGGCAGGATGGCGATGGCCTGGCAGCCTCCCTTCTGGCTAGGAAGGTGCCGAACATGCATTTTCTCCATGGGCAGAACCTCTCGCTGGACCAAGGCAGATGCCTGCTGGGGGAACAGCACCGGCCCCTCCGGGGCATGTGAGCTGTATTTTGACAAGATCCACGATATCTACTGGGCAAGGGTGAGAGCGGTGGCCAGAGGCGAGCTGTCTGCGTGGGCCTATTCCAGAGAGCTGCAGCCATACAGAGACAGTAAGGACCAGGGAGCTCCTTCAGCCGGGCTCCTGCTTTTCCCGGGGCGGGGGGGTGATGGGGAGAGGGGTCCTTGGAGAGGCCTGGTGGGATACAGTGAGAAATCAAATGAAGATACTGGTGGGAAAAGCGCCAAGAGCCCTGACCAGAGGAAAGGGACGGGAGCGGAGCTGCCAGGGAAGGGCTGGGTGAGGAGCAAGGAGAAGGAGGAGGAGACAAAATGAGGAGAGGACCCCAGATGGGAGGCCCCAGGCCACCGAGGCGCTGTGAGAATTTGGGTCTCTGGACAACACAGTGAGATGGAGTAGGAAAGAGGGTACCCCTCCCAGCTTGCCTTTGAAAAGCATCCCCTGTTTGTCCCCTGCCACGGGTCTGGGAGATGCTGGGTGAGGGCATTTTCATTCCCACGGGGCAGAGCTGGCACAGGCTGGTGAGGGCAGGAGCGGTCCCTCCAGCACCGCCTTGGCCCTGGCTGCCGTGTTTGCGGGGTGCGGGCATGTGCCGCCTCTGGCACGGCCTGGCTGTCCTGCCCAAAGAGCCTAGCTATCATCTGGGGGGAGGAAAACTTGAGGGCCTTCCCCTCGCCCCCCTCACAGGGGCTGTCACAACAAACAGGATGTGCAGGCGGCTGCAATGGGATGTACGTCGGCTGTTGGGGCTCCCTTTTCCATTCCATCTGCATCCAGCCGGCGTGGAAACGGATGCGCTTGGCTGAAAGAGCAGTTGCTGGATTCCACATCGGGTCCCCGGGCCGGGATCTGATGGCTCAGAGATGAAGTGCTCAGCCGCAGGCAGCGGACGGCGCTGCAGCTCTGTCCCGGCCGGTGCTGGGTGACCGGGGGAGGCGAAGCAGCACTGGCTGTCACAAAGACATGGTGGCTGCCGTTTCTAGAGCTGGCTTCACAGCACAAAGTCCCATCAGGCGGGACCCGAGGGAGCTTCTGTGTGTGGAGAGTGGGGCATCCAACAGAAGAACATCTCTAGAGAAACAAGGTGCCTGCCCTCTGTTTTGAAGGGCTTAATTTTCCTCCTCCTTTTTTTTTTTTTTTGTCTCCTTACAGCAATTGTAGGCCCCCCCAAGTTGTCCTGGGTGCTCCAGGGTCACGTCCTCAGCATAAATATCATCATGCCGCTCACTCCCTACCGAAGCAAAACGGGCTCGTACAAGCCGGTCAACGAAGTGCTGCTGAAGCTGTGGTACCGGCTGAGTCTGTACGAAGGGGACGCGCTCGTCCAGCAAGTACGTGGTGGGGTGGGCAAGGCTCAGAGGCCACAGGACCTGCAAAAGCTTTCCTGGGGCGGCAAAGACGCCTGCGGCCAGTTGCACTGGTGTGGTGGTGCCTGTGCCTGTAGGGTTGCCCCAGCCCTGCCCACACCCAGCAGTGCAAGCGGGCGTGAGATGCTTTGCACTCCCAGTTCGGGGCTCACAGCCCGGGGGTGGCAGGGGATCCCCTTCCTCTTCTAGAATGCATGATAAGAAAAACCTGTAGCGATATCTGTGGAGATGAACACATGCAGTGTTTAGTGAGATGCTCTGGGACTGGAACACCTCCTGGGGTGAAGAAACAAGTGCTGAAGGTGCTGGGGAGCAGGGAGGGAGAGGGTCTGTGCTCCACACCACGGGGAGAGTGGGGTGTCGAGGCTGCACCGGGGAGTGGAGCAGTGCACAGACCCCACCTCCAGCCACCTTGGCCACGCGTCCCCTCTGCTCCCAGGTGCCCTGCAAACGCAGCGGGGAGGAAGCGCCGTGCCACTTCAGGTACCTGAAGCCCAGCACACAGTACTGTGTCCGGACAGTGGCCGCGGACATGGCTGGGGAGCAGAGCCAGGAGGCCGAGCAGTGCATGGTGACACCAGCGGGCCCCACAGGTAGGAGCGTTCTCGCCCGCTCAGCCAACTGCGGTTGCGTCAGGTCCTGCCTGTGGCACGGGCATGTGCGAGGGCGTGGGTCATTCACCCCCCAGCCATTCTGGTTGGGGTTGGTGGCCAGTAAGGTCCCGTGGGGACCTTTCTTGGGTAGAGGCTCTCCCTCACCACCCACCTTGGGCTTGGCCCGCATCTCCTCCTTGAACATCCCAGCCTGCTGCGGGGGCTCTGGGGAAGCCCTAGGGGGGGGGGGGGGGGG